TATTGGACTAGACAAAAACAACCCCTTCCATAATTGACATGTTTAATTATTTAATCCATTGAATTTTGTTGCTTCCCCATGGACGAGTACTTCTGGCTATGTTCCACACCACATTCATTATCAAATCTTTTGTTGATTTTCTCCCAATAAACATATTCCTCCCACAAGTTCTTAAACCAATTGGATTCAGATATCACAATTTAATTAACAACTAAATCCATAGATGATCCATTTTGCACCCCAACAGCCACTCATCTTCCAGATTGGATTTGATTGGGGCTAAATTAATTATATCATTTTTTTATTTATTTTTCAACCCAAATATATATATATATATATTATGTTAACCCAAAAATAATTAGTTCTAAAAAATCTCTGGCTCGAGAAGGCACACGACGTTGATTCCTTGAGCTAACAGAATTCATTACTTACAAGTTATAACACGTGGCGGTGACAACATTAAGGTGGACTCGGACGCTGCCCATGGCCTTGGTGCCGTGGATTTTAACTTTTTCATTTTGACCTGTTCCAGATTCAAACAGGAAGTAATTTTCGAACTTTGCTCCTCATTGTCGGACGACGTTATAATCTTATCAACTAAGTGAATTTTTCGTGACCTTAAACAATAGTATAAAAAGAGAATATTTTTTATTCTAAAATAATTATTGTTTTATTTTGAATTTGTTTTAAATTAATTTTTATTTTTTTATTTTTTAAAATTTTAATTATTTATTTTATCACAAAAAAATTAATATATATTTTTATATTTTTTAAAAATAATATAAATAAATATACAAATTATTCCTAAACCTTTACTCAAAAAATCAAAAAATCACAATTTTTTAAAGCATTGGTATTATATTTTTTCTATGTGGAATAAGGAATAGAGAACAAAAAAGTTTTTTTTTTTTTTTCTTTTTGTACACAAAACAAAGCATCATTCACTAATTAAGAGCACCTAGTAGTGCATGGTTCGATACACATAGAGGTTAGCCCTCCCATGAGGAATAAAAGAAGTAACAAAATATAGGAATGTCATGAAATTACACAAAATTATCCCTAAAATGGAAGCGTTCAGCAAAAAAATCTCACATAAAAAAAATATAATTTAAATATAAAAAGAATTATTTTTTTAATTACAATTAATTTTAATTTTCTATTACATATAGATTTTATATTAAAATCTATATCTCTTATTTTCATTTAATATTAGAGTATAAATTTCATTTTAAAATAATTTATTTATTTAATAATATTTAAAATTTATATCATGCCTGCATGTTATATAAATTTTATATTAACATGTTATATAAATTTTATATTAAAACTCAAATGTGAAATTTTCAGAGACCCCATACTTTGCCAAAGCATCCTTAACGTAATTACCTCCCCATAAACATGCTTAGTCTGCATAGTCTGCACGTCCGCGAATCACATCACATGAATCAAGGTCCTTATTAAGTACTTAAGTATATTTAATATCTTAATTAATTATAATTAACATTTAATTTATGATAATGGCATGTTGTTCTCTATTTTCTATCTCAAATCATACTTGTTAAAAAGAATCTCGATACCAGCTCCACTGCCTTTTTTCAGTAGTAGTACACCTCAGAAAAGAATCAAAACAAGTACTCCGATTTTATTTTTCATTTCCCACTCTCAATTTTGTTTGAAAAGCTCCAGACGTTAATGTAATTGGCACAAGAATTTTTTTTTGTTTTTAACATGGGAAATTTTTAGAGAATTGAGGATTTTTCTTTTAGAGTGATTGATGAAAGTTAAATTCTTTGTTAGTTAAACTCAAATATTAAAATTTGATAATACATTATTAAAATTAAAAATCTGATTCTCCTTTTATTTAATAACTATAGTTAAATTTATTGATAGCATTTGGACCTTTGGATTCAGTAACGTCAAGGCACGTATAAGTGCATTCTCTCGTTCAAAACAATGATTTAGATCTGAGCCATGCGAATTTATTCAAAAAAAATAATTAAATTTATTGATAAGAATATTTTAAAGGAAAAGAAAAAAAATAAGACGTGTTAGAAATGAGCACAAGAATTGAATAATATAATTATCAAAAAAGGAGGTTTGATTGATATGTCATGTCAATCGACCAGAATTTCCCAATTTGAACATACCGAATTTCTACTTTCGAGTTGCACATTGTTTTTCTTTTCTGGTTTAGGGATGCTGAACGTCCAAATTGGACTCACATGGCCGGCCACCCAATTGCCAAATTTATGGGCATGTTTAAGGCCACACTAAAAGTTGTCTAGGTCATTGTTATTTTTTTTATAAATAGTTAATTATGGTATTTAAAAATATTAATTTATAAAATATTGTAATTTATTAAATAGTAAATATCAATAATTTTATAATTTAACAATTAATAATTATAATTAATAATTATTTTTAACAACTGAATTAAATTGAACCTACATTTTAAAAGACAACATACAAAAAATTTATGTGATTTTAACACTTTCAAATTTGGTTGATGACCTTTGCCAAATTTGTGTAAGCGTAGAAATGGAGAAGTACTGTAAGTAATGAATTCATATGTGAAAACAATGGCAATTGCATCCATTAATCTTAGGTACATGTTTACTTGTTTGAAAAGCGTGATCAATAGCAGTTCAGTTGATTTGGTATGCCTCCCATTTAAGGAAGATAAAGAGGAGAACTTTTTTTTTTATATATAAAGAAATTGGAAGGGAGGGAAATGACTTACTCTTTTTTAAGTTTTGCTTGAATTTCATTCATGCATTTTAATTTATCTTAATAAGGGAAAAGGAAAGGAAGGGAAAAGATAGGAGAAAAATGAAACTATATTATTATCTCCTCTTCCATCCATTTTTCAATGCATGCTTTAATGAATTAAAAAAAATCTAAATTTTATGTTAAAGAAATCTTGAAATGAACAAAACATACTTTAAAAATTATGAAACTCCCTATCAATTAAAAACTTAAAATGTATATTACTCATAATAAACAAAGTATACATTGTGATCCAAACATATAATAAACAAAGTATATATTGTGATCTCAACTTCTTAGAAATCCATTAACCTTATCCAAAAGCCAAACAGTTTCACATTTTCATCACACCACCTCTGCTCCAAGTTCTCTCTTTAAAAAAACCCGTCTCAGAAAATCAATTACAGTATTTTCAGATCTAATTAATTCCAATATTTTTTTCTCAATAACAATGAAATTGGAATTTCAAGAGGCATACAATAATAAAGGAAATTATTTTTCTCTCAATTCCCTTTATAATATTCAAAATATATATAAAAAAAATGAAGAAATTATGAAGAAACGAATTACGTTTCCAAAAATCCGGTCATCCTAAGAATCCTGTTCCTGACTTGGCTTAAATCCCTTCCTTTAAGCGTCCGCCCGTTTCCCGTGCACACCGAGAAAGCCATTTTCCCGGCGATTCTCCTCCCGAGTATCACGTGCGGCGGCACTATCCCGCCTTCTTCACCGCCGTTACACTCCTCCTCGAAATCATCCGCATCCGCCGCCGCGTAATGAAAAACCCCGTCCCTCGGTATATTAACCGGAAGCGAACTCGACATCACCATCTTCTTCTCCTTTTTCCCGCACTTCTCGATTCTATTATCATTATCATTATTCCTTCCGCCCCGCATTTCTCGGTAATCGAAGTATCCGGTAACATCCTCCTTACGCGTGTTATGACGGTGATGTTTTTGATCGGAGAAAACAACATCGGACTCTTGGAATTCTTCCGCCATTGAAAGTGAAGGAAATTAAGTGAGGGGAAATGAGGAAGGAAAAGTGTTTGTTTGGGGACGGGAATGGAAGAATGGAACAAGATGAGAAGCGGTGGGGGAGATTTATAGCGGGGGAGGAAGAGAAAGAGAGGAGAGAATCTAAATCGTAATGAGTATATCTCCGGTTGTTTGTGCCATGAGATGGCGTCACTGAAAAGGCCTTCTTTGTGTGAATAATCTAGTCGGCTCCCTTTCTTCCCTTTCTTGTGGCCCACGGCTTTCTCGTGTTTAGCTGCTTCTTGATTTTTGACTGCACCCCATTGGCTCACCATAATTCCCCAAGTTTTTTTTATTTTTTTTATTTTAGTAGTATTTTTTTTTTTTTTAACATTTTAACACGGTACGGATTCAAAACCTGTCATGGAAAGGGGAATGCACCTAACAAGCTGGTTAATGTGCCAGGTGCAGTATTTTTTTTAGTTTCTTTGGAAAAGCAAAAGAATACAAAAGTGTCTAGGTTCATTTTTATAATATGTCTAGGTTCATTTTTTATTGACGGAACAATGAACCAGATACCCCTTTTTCTTGTTTTTTTTGTCCAACAACTGAATATCGGAATATGCACTTGATTAAAGTTTTTTTTTTTTAAATCTTTAAAATTGAGTTTAATATCAAAGTTGATTAAGATTAAAGAGTAAAAATTAACTTATACTGACATATGTCTTTTACGCTAATTTTTTATGCACATTTGAAAATTTTAAAAATTATTTTAAAAATTTTAATACTGAATTAATTATTAAAACTTTAAAATAATTAATTAAAAATTATGTAACACGTACATCAATATAAATTAAGTATAAGTTATTTTAACTCAAAATTAAAATATTTGTTAATATGATCAATGATTTAAATAATTTAATAATAATTTTTTTTATTAAAAATAAAAAATTTTGAATTTATATCGTATGATATACAAATGAAGTGATATAAAATATGAAAAAGAGTTGTATTTTATTCTACAATCAAAATCAAAAAAATAAAATAAAATTGTTAATATGAAAAGAGAGTTCTATGGGTTTCTAAAGTCACGTGTGATAATTTGTTCATATGAGGTCATTCATTTATTTCTCTCATTTAATTGGTTAAGGATTACTAATCTTCACAATTATGAATTTAACAGTAATTTGTTAACCATATTTATTATAATAAAATCTTTTTATAATAGTCATAAATTTCCAAATGAGTGATAATTGAGTCTCACAACTCAACGATTATAAGTTAATTTATAAGATACATTCTTCAACCTAAAAATCGAGTTTCAAACTTCCCACCGTCATAAAACCAAAAATTTTCCAAACGAGTAGATTCATTTTGGCCAACAATAAAAAATAGTTATTAAAAACTATTGTTAGATCATGGTTTGTTATTAACAAACATTTTAAATGAATTATTTTGTGAGTTGCACGTTTACAATGAAAGCACCTACTACTAACATTTAGTGCTAGCTATTTACATTAGGTGTAAACCGTTTTTATTGATCTTTATTTCTGTTATAAATAATCCCAATTGTAATATTTTAATAAAAAAAATGACTTCGGAAGATGTTGACTAAATATATATTTTTTGGTTTTAATTACTCATTTAGTCCAAAAATGATTGTTATTTTTTATTTTAAATTATTTTTAAATTAATAATTATTATTTTTAAAGCATATAAGTATTCATTTTTCTACTTTATTTATTATTATCTATTTATGATAAAATTAATAATTTTATCATAAAAAATATCTTTTTATTTTTTTAAAAACTAATATATATTTATGATAAAATTAATAATTTTATCATAAAA